TACAGTCTCCGTCTTCATTCCCCACATCCTGTTAATCTCGATCTTCAGGTTCTTGTATTTGGACAATTTTTCGATAATTTTCATGGTGTTTCTCTAAGATGTTACTGTTATGTTAATAAGAAGCATACACTTCCTGAATTTCTTGTCTTTTATTATTATTATTATTATTATTATTGTTGTTGTTGTTGTTGTTGTTGTTGTTGTATAAGAATTTTCTTAATGTGTGAATCAGTATTCTTTTTAACCTTCCGTTAGTACTATAATGTACTGTCACAACATTAGTACCCTAAGATTTTTCAGTACTCCATTTAAAATATGGTAGATATATTATCTATTTCTTATGCCTTATTTATTTTGATTTCTTGGGCGGATTTTGTTTTTTATATAGGAGAAATAAAAATGAAAAAAAAAACACATTATTAAAAGTCGAATTAAAAGACGAAAAAAAAACTGAATTTCTACATTTCAAATATGCAAATAATGGGTTTCATTTTATTTTTAATAAATAAATCATATAATTCCCACAAACGTTATGACTAAAACCGGAAATTCCGTGCAGACTTTATGACTTTAAGCGCAGCAACAGTCTAATAAATTTGCAATTGAATTGGCTTGATGTAACTGTGAGTTCTATGCTAACAGTTTCTTCTCTCTCACTTCTCGCCTGTGCAACCCTCTTCTGACATCTTGCTTTCCAGCTAACTTTGTTCTTCAGAAAATCAAATGCAATGTCAACCGTTATCTTTTGTCTTAATTCCTCTTCTTTTATTTTTTCTCGCTCCTTAATAATATTTTTTCTTATTCTTTCACACTCACTATTCACTTGTGTTGTAGTGACTTTGCTGCCTTACTTGGGATAAAATGATTTTTAAAAAAAGTTTGTTTTGGTTTCGTTTGTTTTGTTTTAGGCATATCAACCTCAATGGGTTATTGAATGCCGACAATTTTCACCGCTGGTAACATTTCTTTCCTACAAAAATCTATTTCTGGTAATATTTTTTCTTCAAAAATGTATTTCTGGTAATATTTTTTCTTCAAAAATTTATTGCCGGTAATAATCTATTTACGAAGTATTTCTGGTATTAAAACCTATTTTTGTACTTTCATGATGTTTTGACCCCAGTTTGGAGGTTAACTATTTGCTCATAGCTGGGACCCTAACAGGTACTCCCACCCCGACACGGGGTGGACCTGGGAACACCGGCAATTTCACACTTTTCAAAACCTCCTGATCAGTGTCCTTGCTGTCGGACGTAGTTTACCGTCTTACCCAGGACGCGGACGTAGTTTATCGTCTTACCCAGGGCGCGGACGTAGCTTATCGTCTTACCCATGGTGCGGATAGTTAAAAAAAAGTTACTTGACAGAAATCTTCAAAATGCTATTTCATTTATCAGGAAAATTTGACTCGCCATTTACTAAATATAAAGGGAAGACATTTCGTATTCAAACTAAGGCCGTGTTAATTATTCTTTGCGCTTCAACAACTACTGAAATAAGAGTTGTGTCTAAATACCACATGTTAGTAATTTCTATTTACAGATATTTGTATTTGGAGACTTTATCAAATTCTTTTCTTTCATTTTTATGATCGTGTCTAGAAGATAGGATTTATTTTCTTTAAAGTCATTATCTGGTCCATTAGCTTGTAAAATGCGATCGGTGAAGTCTTAAAGTAAGCAACACCATTATCTTCTACAATTGTTGGTGGTTTTGCACAGATTATTTTTCTATAAAAAGTTGGTTATAATACTGACATGTCATCTAATAAAGACATTTCTCGATTTTTTTTAAGCATTTTGCCCCAAGCAAAGCGGGAGGGCCACTAGCACGCAAGGGTTTGGTTTGGTTTGGTTTACCTCTTATCAACCTCAATGGGTTATTTAATGCCGACAAGATTTTTATTGCTGGTAATATTTTTTTTCTCAAAACTCTATTTCTGGTAATGTTTTTTCCTTCAAAAAATCTATTTCTGGTAATATTTTTTCCTTCAAAAGATATAGAGCTGTTAATACTTTTTGTTTTCAAAAATGTATAGTTGACAATATTTTTTCCCAAAATGTATTGATGTAAAGAATATATTGCTGGTAATAATCTCTTCAAAATCCATTGTTGGCAATAATTGTTTACAAAGTGTTTCTGGTATTAAAACCTATTTTTAAATTTTCACAGTGTTTTGACCCCAGATTAGGGGTTAACTATTTGCCCATATATTGGGACCCTAACAGGTGCTACCACCCTGGGTCAGGGTGGGCCTGGGAACACCAGCAATTAAGAGGTGGTTCCACGCTCGTCAAAGCCTGCTGATCAGAGGTCTTGCTGTTGGACGTAGTTTATCATCTTACCCAGGACGCAGACGTAATCTATCGTCATACCCAGGACGCGGATGTAGCACGCAATGGGTTACAAAGAGTGAGAGCAAGAGTAAAAAGGCGTGTTTGAAGAAAGGATAAAGAGAATGATGGGGATCAAGATCAAGGAATCAGAAGATGTTGGTTGACATTACATTTGAATATTTGAAGATTGTAGCCATCAGGAAAGTAAGTAAAAGGAAGAGAGTTCCACAGACGGGAAATGTGAGAGAGGAAGCTGTTGGAGTAGAAGAGACAACTACATTTAACCGTTCCCACAGTGAAAGGGTGGGACCGAGATGCCTACCTAGTAGTACGCTTAAATTCAGTCTGGGAACCAGCGAAAGTAGCACGTCGGAGCAGTTGCCCTGAAAATAGTTGTAGAAGAGACAGAGGGAAGCCACGACACGTCTGTTAGAAAGTGAGTGTAGACGAGATGCCAGATCAGGACCCATCACATTGCATATCTGTCTCTGGATTTTTAAAAAATCATTTGGTGCTAGGCTGAACAAACAGTTATTGCCAGATCAGTCATCTACTCAGATTGACTCCATCGTCCAGTTCCGACTTCTACCCGGTCTCTCGAACAGGAGTAGAGGTGTATCTCTTGTTTTCTGGTTAAGATTGGGTTTCCGGTTCCTTCTAAAGTCTAATTCAACTCTACTTGTGACGTCTCTGCCTAAACTCGGAAATTTTATTTACTATTTATTTATTTTCCACACTTGGAGTAGATAAGTTCACCTATCGTCCGGATTATGCTCCTCGAGGTTTTACTTTAATTGGAGTAGATATTTATTTCTTGTATTCTGCTTAGGATTGGGTTTCCGGTTCCTTCTAAAGTCTTTTATGTTCTTTCACTTTCAGTAGCCCCCTTGCGTCTTAGTTCCATAATTTTTTGCTTGGAGTGAAATTAAACCATTATATATATATATATATATATATATATATATATATATATATATATATATATATATATATATATATATATATATATATCATTACATTCACTTTTACGTGCTAATACTCTTGGGACAGGTATTAATCCTCTTCTTGTCACTCCAGCTATGGGTAAATAGCAGGAAAAACTGGGTTCTAGAACCTTAGATGGCAACTAGTCTAGGAGAAGGTAACTCTGAATTCAAAATTTGCGGAGGGTCGTTTGAGGACCTTGTGGCACGTAGTGCACCAGGTCTCTGTATTCGGTCCTTCAAAAAGTGTGGATGGTTCTGCACAAAGCCTTCACCACTATAATCAAATCATATCTGCTGGTGTCTGGGCTGTCGGTTCCTAGGAACTAATATTGCGTATTTTATATTTATACGCCGAATACAACTGGAGAGTCTACTACACGCATATATATATATATATATATATATATATATATATATATATATATATATATATATATATATATATATATATATATATATATACTAATATATATTTTAGTGGATACCCCTGTTTGAGTAAACAGTATGTTTTTAAAGAATAAAAAATCATGTCTACCGGCTCGCGTAAATATTATATGTTCTCTACAAATTGGGACACAGGTTCGAACCCTGCCAGAGAGCACATTTTCTTTAAGTCTTTCGAATGAAAAATAATCAAATATGGGTATCCACTAAATATAATATTTAGAGTAAAAAGACATTCGTATTAAAGATGCAATCTATTAATTCTTGAGAAATTATTTATACACATATATATGTGTTTGTGTTTGTGCGATTGTATATGTGTGTGTATGTGTTTGTGCGCGCGTGGATGGAGTTGTTCCTCCAACATGAAATTATTGCAAATGAAGATAGGTTTCAAAACCTCTGTTATCCTTGTATTTCTTCTTTCTTTTTATGTGCCATGTCATTTCCTCACGTAGGCGATCATGGCTCTCCACTTCTCCCTATTCCTTGTAGCTTACAATAAGTTTCCTGTCTCTGCCAATTCCCACAGGCCACATTCTACCATCCACTTGAATAAGCCCGCCAGGTATGTCATGCGTTGCTTTCCCTTATCTCTTTTCCCCTCTATTCGACCAGTGAGTATCAGATTCTTTCTCATTACGTGACACAGAAATTTCATCTGCCTCTTCATTATGTTAAGTACGAGCTTCCTCTTTTTATTAGAGAAATTTAATTTAAATCAGGAAGAGAAAATAATGAACGGCGTCATACATATTATAAAATCCAGGTTGTGTGTGTGTGTGTGTGTGTGTGTGTGTGTGTGTGTTTTATATGGGATCAGATTTCCTACATTTTTCAACCGATTTCAACAAAACTTCACTTTTTTTTTGGAAGATAATGTTTCTTATTGTCTTGCACACTTTTTTCTTTATTTTTACATTCAGAATGCTTTAAAAATTCCATTTACAAGACAATTGTTTATAATAAAATTCTATTCAATCGGTAGACTCATAACGATTGAAAACAATGTTTATTTTTAGTTTGGGTTTGATCAATTCGTAAAAAAAAAAAAAAATAATTAAGACATGCGTGTCCGTCAACCTTAAACAATAATCATAATTTTATTTTTCAGTCTTTATGATGGTCGATACTTGATCTATCTCTTACTGTTACATCCCCGGGCAACGCCGGGCTCTACTGCTAGTTATTAATAAAGTAATGGCGGAAGATATTTTGTACTCTGGGCAGTAAGATGTCAGGGCAAAAGTTAGGGGAAATTTGTAGTAAGTGGCGGATAAACCTTAAAGAGAAAAAATATATACACATATTGAAGTAAATAAATTGGTTGTAACATATAAGTAAATAGTTACGGCTTCTAAGCTTATTTTTAATTTTCTCATTTTACCTTCTTCTCCATTGCCTATTGCTATTTGCCAAATTCGTTTCTTTTCTCCGTTACTAGCGTGCTTTTACTTTCTCTTACTTCCACTCTGTCTCCTCTTTTTATTTTGTTTTTGCTTCTCCTTTATCATATCTATTTTCTTTCTTACCTTCTTTTTCTCTCCCCTCCCATTGATAATCTGTCACATTTTTTCTTCGCTCTCACTCTCATTCTTTCAAGCGCATCCTTTCTCATCTCACAATAAACTTCTTTTCCCTTGATCCACTTTTATAAGCTTTAACTCACTCTTGTCTTATTCAGGGCTTACGGCCACATCACGTTGAAACACCGATTCCCATGTAATCACTGAAGTTAAGCAACGTCAAGAATGGTCAATACCTATATGAGTGACCGCTTGGGAATACCAGATTCTGTAAACTTAGATGTGCGGTTAGTATTAACGAGTGATGGCTCGGAATTGTTAATCGGAGAGCCGAGTTCGAATTTCCGTTGGGTACGTTATATTTACTTTCGTGCAAATAATCTTGGAAAAATTATGAAGCCAATTGTTCTCCTCCAGCTATGGGTTAATGAGTAAAAGGTGTATCACAAAAAAAAAACATTGTTATCTCCTAAAATATTTAGATTCCGGGATTAAATAACTCATAGAGGTGTTGATATGCCGCTAAACAAAACAACCAGCCTTATTTCACTCCTTTCTTTCTCTCTTAATCACCTCTCCCCTTTTTCTTTTACCTCCTCTTTTTAAACCTTTTTTTTTCTTCCTTTCCTTTCTTTTTTGTTATAATTTTCTCTTCTTTATATACCTTGATTTCAATCACCGCTTTATCTATCTCCTCCTCTGCTTCTCTCCTCCCCTGCTTCTCTCTTTAAAAAGTAGGGGAGGAGGCCTTCTCTTACATTATTTTCTTTTTTCTCTCTCTCTCTCTCTCTCTCTCTCTCTCTCTCTCGTCCTCTTTCTTGAAGCAGTTCTATCTCATTCTGCCTTCTTAATTCTCCTCTATCATTTTTTCTTTTTCAGTATATAATCTACTGTGTCTGTTTTCAGCTCTCTCGTTTCCACGCCATTCAATCAGCATAATGAAAACTTAGATCGATTACAATTCGGCACTGTGACTGAAAACGATTTCTCACATGGTAGGCTAGACACGACAAAAGCCACTCGCTTGTGCACGTTATGCATCTTAGCCACCGAATGAAAATACTAGAAATAGAGATAATAAAAGATATTTTGATTCTATTAGGATAGCGAGCCCGTCAATCGACTGACTGGCCGGGCAATGTACCGGACGCCATTATGAGGACAAGTCACGCCATATTGCTTACCTACATGGAACTGAAGGGTAGCTAGCAATCACTCTTTACAGACTGAATTTAGAGCTAGGCATGAGAATTAAGGAAATAATTCAGGAATTACAATTCTTAGAGACAAAAGACTCTACACTTCAATGTTATTACAGGTTTTATTCTTTAATATGAATCACCATAAAGGAAGATTCTATCAGTAATAGTGAATAAAGCACACTCATTATGAAAGGCTAAAATGAGTACCAGTTCACCTAAATTACTAATAGCAGCAGTGACACTTGCAAGTTCACATCAAGTGGTAAAGGGAAGGATGATAATTAAGAGGTCTGAGGCTAAAGGAATCGTAATGTGGGGATAATAGTATCTCACTTCGCAAAGGAATACGCATATTTCGAACAATAATCATACAGTCAGCGAAATTACGTGTTCAAGAAAGCATATCGTCATTTGTATAGTAAAGAATGTTCTTCAATTTGACCAGATTTTTACTACACATTATTACTACATTTTTGTTAATACTGTGTCCTTTCAGTCAGCCATTATGACTCTCCACGGACCCCTTTTTTATATTATCCGTGAACTGCCATGACTTCTTCGGAAGGTAAGTGCAATACTTTGCTGTCGCTTTCAACGCTTATAAATCCAGAGGAGTTCTTCTCCTAGACTGGTTGCTGGAGAACCCAGTCTATCTAACCCATATCCGAGAAAGAAAAAACAGATTACAATTTTTCCCAACAACATTGGTGAACGCAGACTAAGCCGAGAATTGAACACGGCTTGCCGGTTCCACTTCCGGCCCCGATAATCATTACGTCTATTCATATATCCATTCTTACTACTAGTATCTCTATTTCTGTTGTTTTTAACACGATGATATATTTCTCGATTTTTCTCTGGAACATTTTGTATCTGCTGATTCGTACATTTTTTAAACAATCCGTAAGAGCGGTTTTAAAAAAATGTACGAATGGCGTTGCATTTAAATTCTTGACGATTGTGGATAACAGGGAAGCAAGAATCCCGAAGAGACATAGTTTAACAAGTGTCAAATTTTGTGCTTGTGAAAATATTCAAGTTAGACTCGAAAACTAGTTTCATTTTAGGACTTTCATTTCTGTTGGCTCCTAATATAGAAGTCCTAATCTAACAAAATTATTTCTCCTGAATTCTGTCTTTCATGTTGAAGAAATAAAGTACAATACAGCATGCAGTGAATGTCACATATCCCTTAGTAAGGCTGAAGATGATATCGGCTGAAATATTTTGATAGAAACATCAAAAATTAAGATTAAATTCTGAATAATCTTTTCAATAATGAAAGTACTCATAACTTAAGACAATAATTATTAGGTTATTTTTATGGCAATTGTTCTGATGAGCTTACCTCCTTGGTTGACTGACTGCATGAATTTAAGCGTACTCCCAAATTGGCAACTACGTTTCACCGTTTTTCTGTTGAACTAGTTAGATGTAACCGTAAATTCTATTCTAATAGTTTCTTTTCTTGCACTTCCCGACTGTGGAACTCTCTTCCGGGTTCTTACTTCCCTGTTATCCACAATCGTTAAGAACTTAAATGCAACTCCATTCGTCATCTCTTGTCTTCCTCACTAAAGTCTTTATATTCTCTTTTACTCCCAATAGCCCATTGTGTCTTAGTGGTATTATCGTCTTGCTTGTGGGGGGAATGATTTTAAAAAATCTGCTAGATTATTCTTTAAATATTTCCGCAAATAGAGTTAGCAAGAATTCGGGACAGATATTTTTCATGAATGCGTTTAATTTGAAATATCATTTTCTTTTCCATTTATTTCGACTAGCCACACTTTTTAGCGCTTTCAAATCAAGTTTTGAAGTTTTCAGTAACAGAGTACTCGGTGGCTGCTTAACAACGAACGAGATATTGCCACAAACTTTATGCAGCTATGATATGGAAAAAGAAACAAATAAATTCTGAACGGTGATCTGAAAACGCTACAACAACAAACAACCAAGAAAATAACATGGAGTCAGCACCAAAAATTTAAACATGGAGTCAGCTCTAATAATAGAAAAAAAAACATGGAGTCAGCACTAATAATAGAAAAACATAGTCAACTCTAATAATAGAAAAAACATGGAGTCAGCTCTAATAATAGTAGAAACATGGAGTCAGCTCTAACAATAGAAAAAAACATGGAGTAAGCACTAATAATAGAAAAACATGGAGTCAACTCTAATAATAGAAAAGACATAGAGTCAGCTCTAATAATAGAAAAAACATGGAGTCAGATTTAATAATAGAAATAACATGGAGTCAGCTCTAATAATAGAAAAAAAGAAACATGGAGTCAGCTGTAATGATAGAAAAACATGGAGTCAGCTCTAATAATAGGAAAAAATGGAATCAGCTCTAATAATAAAAAAACTGAGTCAGCTCTAATAATAGTACAAACATGGAGTCAGCTCTAACAATAGAAAAAAACATGGAGTCAGCACTAATAATAGAAAAGCATAGAGTCAACTCTAATAAGAAAAAAACACGGAGTAAGCCTAATAAGAGAAAAGACAAACTATTCTTTCCTAGTTTTGTTTTTATCTGTTGTAAACTTACTTAACTTTGAAATAAACATGAACTCATTTTGGATTAACAAATCTAACAAATGCTTGTAATCTTCGAAGTTATTTTAATTCGTACAATATTGGTAAGCTTTGTTAGTCATCGTAAAAAATGTCATTATCGTTAGACCCTCTTTCAAACAATTTATATTGCTCAGATATGGCAAACAGACATCACGTTTCTACTAGCATTTAAGGGTTTCTTTGATTGTAACTAAAGCGATTCATAACACTTTGGTCGCAAAGCCCTCGAGTAAGGGTGGTCACCTTTTAATAAATGCAATGTAGGATATAAAAGTGCCTTTCAATGGAGTAAGGGTCTATTTGGGTTTAATCTAATCAGTATCAAGTCCATAAGATCGGAATATAATTAGTATTTCGAAAGACGTGACAGCATGAAAACTCATTCGGGTGTAACCAGTGCGTAGAAAGACCTGCATGACTAAACAGTTACAATAATTACCAACGCTGACCGCACCAGTAGAACTAGTATTGAGACTAATATGATTTTTACTATTTCAGTGATTAGTAGCCATTTTATTCTAAAGGGTCCTAAAATGTTTCCCTGTGAAAAACAGAACTGACAAAACAGTTTCAAAATCTGATAGGGATATAATCTTCTATGCAATCTACTTTTTTCTTCTTTTTCAATCATTCCACTCCACGCAAGGCGATAAAGCCACTACGAAACAAGGTATTACAGTGTGTGAAAAAAACAAACGTTATTGAGGTCAATAAAAGTACTGGATTCAAGGCAAGAGAAGACGACGATTACTGTTTCAGTTAAATTTTTGAAAATCGTAGCTAACAGGAAAGCAAGAAACCGAAAGAGAGTTCCACAGGCGAGAAGTGTGAGAGAAGAAACTAAAAGAACAGAACTTACGGTTACGTTTCGCAATTTCAACAGTAGAATGACGAGACCTATCTGCCAATCTAGTTTTAAATTCGTGAAGTCGAGGTACCAAAGAAAAATTGCCATGAAAATATTTTAAGAAGAAGCACAAGGATGCCATGTTACGGTAGTGGGGAACTGGTTGAAATCGAAATACCGGCTTAGGGCTGATAACATTTCAGATTCTAGTTTGGGTTTTATCAAAAGTTTCGTGATACATAGCCTCTATATGGCATTGAATGCGAGAAAATATCCTCAAACATGAAAAGAAAACTTGAGAAAATAGAAATATGGCTCTACAGAAGGATGCTAAGAATACCATGAACAGAGCATGTAAGCAACAAGGAAGTTTTAAGAGAAATGAAAATGAAAATGATATTTTACTTACAATAAAAAAGAAAGATTAAATTAAGTTGTAATTGTAATTAGAACATGTGTCATTGTCATATTTAATATATATATGTGTGTGTGTGTGTGTGTGTGTGTGTGTGTGTTCAACATACTTCCAGTCTAGCTCAGTACCCAGTCCTCAAGGACACATGGCACAGTGGATAAAGACGTTAGTTAGATCCAGTGACAGGACCCAAAGAGTGTGAGTTCAATACCTAGTTAAGGCGGTGGAGCACTTGGAGCGGGGAATTAACAGGAGATAACTGATAACTGACATCCATTAAACATGGCACGTGGAACTAGAACAGTCTACCCCAGTGAGTGAAATAAAGAGTTCAGTTCGACATTCCAACCATCTGAAGAAGGCCGGACCGTACAACGGCCGAAACGTTGTAATAAATATGGTAACAAAGATGAGTATGATAGTCCGAACAATGTAAATAGTGTATATAATACATCATCTTATAAATATAAAGAGATACTACTCTTCTATTACCCGTGATCCGCCTGCACATTTCACGCACCAACTATGTCTGTCCGGAAATAACTTATGCCTCATATATTCTTATTCGATTCGAAAAACCTTGAGTACTCGATACCGTGGGGATAGAGTGCTTCATCTTTCTGCTTCTACGATTAAGTGGTGTTAAATCCTGTTAATCTCAATGGGTAATACTACTACTAGTTTAACACAGTTTCACTACCTCTTTAACTATTGCCGATGGTTGTTGTACTTGGACAGAGGGGTAAGTAGTTTGGCGCGAAGGTTTGGACTCATGAGTCTCGTTCAAACAATGATCACGGCAGACTGGGCACTGACTGAACTAGACTGAAATTATGATGAACACACACACACACACAAAGATATATATATATATATTATATTTGACAAATGGAAAACGTTTCATTTAAAATGAATTTCACCATTTAAGGCTTCATCAGATCCAAAAACAAAAGAAAGAAATATGTGTATGTGTATCTGTTAAATTTGTCTATTTAAAACTTTGTCAGGATTTCTGTCTCCTATTTAAAAACATATATATATATATATATATATATATATATATATATATATATATATATATATATATATATATATATATTATGGTCCATGATTATAGCTGCACGTCACTAAAGATAAATAACACACACACACACACACATATATATATATATATATATATATATATATATATATGATAAAATATAGTTTAAGGTATGCTGTATTTATGGGTTAAAGTGCTCAATAAGAGATAGAACGTATGTTAATATATAAGTGAACATTTTAGTCAAAACCCAGAGGCGACAGTCTGTTTCATGCTAAAAGCAATCATGAGTCCTGAAATACTTTAAATATATAGTTATATATCCATTTATATATATATATATATATATATATATATATATATATATATATATATATATATATTTAAAAATTCAGTTTTAAGATATGCCATATTTATGGGTTAAGTGCTCAAGCGGGATAGAGTGTATTCAAATTTAAAAAGAGGTCATTAAGGTCAACACCCAGCGGCGAGATTTTGTTTAAAACTTAAACGATATCTTTAGAGCATTAGATTGCATTTAAGCATGAAACGGACCGTGTGTGTGTGTGTGTGTATGTGTGTGTGTGTGTGTGTGTGTAAGCGAAATCTAAGAATTCGCTTTCTTATCCTGTTTGCCCACAGTAACAATCCACACGCTTAGAGGATTATGAAACGTTAGGCTTCTTGGTCGTCCAAACTTTCTCTCTCTTAATCTATCAAAATGCTCAATACGTTATTATTGTGACTGGATTTTATTACAATAACCCTCTTTGAATTGTTAGTACTGACAAATTGACAGGAAGTGTGTGTGCATGTGATTGCGTGCGCGCGTGTGTGTGTGTGTGCATGTCTGTATGTGTGTGTGATTTAAGTTATAGTCACTGTATAGAATGCCGTCCTGACAAAAAGCCTGACCAACATTTCAACAAGCCGTATTTGTGTGTGATATTAACAATACTATCCTTCTCATTACTTGCAACGTCCTTTTTTTTTCTGACACATTGAAATCCAACAACAGTCACTGGCAGTGTTGATTACGGAGCCATAAATAATTAATGTACAAAAAACAGGAAAAGGTTGCATCTCACCCAAAAAGGTAACCCCCTCTCTCTCTCTCTCTCTCTCTCTCTCTCTCTCTCTCTATTCACGGACTGTTTTAATCATTCAATTAGCTTTTGGAGATTTAAAAGCTCTTGTTGTTTTTCTCGGAATCTTCAGTTGAATATTAAAGATATTATTGTCTGTTTTATTCGATATCGTATAGACTGTACATGTGCTTGTAGAATGTATGCATTTATAGCGTCTAGGTTTCTGCAAAAATAACTGCTATTTAAATAGTTTACTAAAATGCGGGATTCTCATCAGAATTTGTGCACACAGAATGCATATATTTATTATCTACCCTTATCATAGTTCTCGGTAAAGAACTTGATAAATTCGATTTTTATGGTTTATCAACCCTTGATAAGTTATAAAAATCTTTGAAGGTTATTTCAAGCCAAAAATATTTTTAGATTGTAATATTTTTTTGAGATAATAATAGTTTAGTGATATAAGTCTTACTAATTAACCTATAGATTGGGGGAGAATAAGTAGATTCATACCTTTCCCAAGAACATTTGCGCGAAAGTGAATATAAACGAACCCAACGGGAATTGAAACTCGGCTCTCCGATTAACAATTCCGAGCCATTATCCAACCTTCACATCCATGCTTAGAGCAATTGGTATCACCAAATGGTCACCCATCTAGGTACTGACCAGACTAGACGTTGTTTAACTTCGGTGAGTTTAACGTGATGTGACCGTAAGCCGGGAATGAACTCTCTTATACAGTTTTCTTGATAACAATCATATATTTACTGTGGAAATACAAATGCATGAAATATTTTTTGAAAAAATTAGTGAAATAAAATAATGTTTCGGGGTTGAGACCTGCTATAGTTTGTGTAGATGTTTAGGAGCGTTATATGAAATAGTATTAATAAGAACGAAATATATCCCATAATTAAATGTGTATCCTATAATTATATGCCAATATAATGTAATAGTTTTAATAAGAGTGTATCCAAATTTGTCACGCCAGGTATATTTGAATCTTGGTAATGACTAAGAAAGCCTACTTATAATTCATTATTTTCGCTTTTCAATTTATTTATAAGTTTGTCCGGTGATATCAAGAATTTAGCATATTTTGTCCTTTGATTATTTGCTTGTGATTGTTGATGTTCTTATGTGCCACATTTTTGAGATTTCGATTTTAAGGTCATGTATTTGTATTTTAATAGCTTTTTGGAGATCTTCAAAGATACATTGCAGTCTGCAGGGACTGCCATATCAATAAGGAAGCAATTTTTTATTTTTTTTTTTGCGGTCTCTAATAACAATGTCTGGGCGATTAGCTATGATTGTTCTGTCTGTGTATATTGTGTAGTCCCATAAAATTGTTACAGGTCCTATCTCTGTAACCGGGTCTGGGTGGTATCCATACCAATTATTATTATTATTATTATTATTATTATTATTATTATTAACTTTTGCTTTCGCTTAGTACAAATCCTTACCAGGTTGTTAACCGAAAACTTGGTAAATAGGTAAGGTAGTAAATATATGCTTTCTGTTTGCACGAATTCTGATGATAAGTGATATTTGATTGATTTGTCAGTTTAATGACATATCAACACCTTATGGGTCATTTAATGCTGAAATTAAATTTTCTTGTGAGCTTGGAAGTAATAAAAAATATATGTTATTCTGCTTTCACAAGTGAATACATGGTAAATGATACTCAACTTTTGTGCATATACATGTTTGTGTGGATATGATTACTTGAGGTGTTGGTGTGTGATTTGTGTCGTTTTGTTGAAGTTGTATTTTGGAATAGTTTGATTTAAGAAATTTTAGGATATTATATGGAAAAATTTCATGAAAGTTCTTTCATGTTGGCTCTTTGGTAGGGTTTTAAACGGATTTGGATGAAGTCGGTACAATTTGTTAATATGTACGTATTGTTGGTAATTTTTATATAAAAATGTATTGCTTTGTAGTTTTACTATAAAAATCTATTTTTATACTTTCATCGTGTTTTGTTTTTGTTTGGGAGGGGGTGTTCACTATTTGCTCATAGGTGGGACCCGAACAGGTGCTACTACCCCGGATCAAAATTTCCAATGTTCCGATCAATGGCCTTGCTGTCGGATGTAGTTTATCGTTATACACAAGACTAAATTGATACTTAACATGTGAAATGTTTATATTTTTTTTTACACTGATAATAATCTCCTGAGAAGATAAGTTTTTGAGCACAGCATATTTATTATTATAATTATTGTAAAATTTATATTTGATTTTTATTGTTATTTCTATTCTCTGGGTTTTAACAATATTTTTTGGGATGACAAGTCTCCCTATTATTGTAGATTGTGCCTCAACCTTTTATGCTTATAAACAATTTCAATTCACTAACATTCTACTTCGAGTGTCTCTTGGGCCTTGTATTGGATGAATAATTAGTAAAAAACCGTTAGTCTATGTTATTGACTTATTTCTTTATGTTAGTGAATTGGTGTCGATCGCAGTTTTTAAAGATGGCGTTTATTGTCTTCTTTTTCTCAAACAGATCTTATGGCGTAAATTTAACGATCAGAAGTGGGTCATAACAAACGAAAATGGTTCCTGCCATTTCTTCAGCGCTCTGCATCAGAATTCTGGTTGTGCCTAGCGGCTTCGTTTTCTGAAACATCTCAGTCCGAACCACACTCCTCAATTTTACAGACGTCATTTTGAATTTTGTTTGTCACTGTTCCAATGGCGTCCACAATAACAGAAAAAAAAACTTCTGCTCTATTAAGCCCTCTCAATCGTGCTGTCTCATTTATGAAATTTTGACAGCCCAACCCGCCGCTATCCTTTTCTTTCTCAACGGATCTTACATCCCCTGGTAACGAGATATCGTTGACCATCCAACATTGTCTTCCTGCTGTACAGCAACGATTGTGATATCTGACATAGTTGGGATTCAAGGCTGGCTCTTGTGCAGCACATATCAAAGATTCTGTTCTTTCCTTCCGGCTTCCTTTCTTCAACCATGTCCATGTTTCTATTTTATCAATTTTCCCTCCATTATACTCCTTATCCAGATTCCTGCGACATTGTCCATGCATTACTTCCCTTAATCCAAGCCCTAGTTCAGTTTTTTAAATTCTCCTCGTCCTCTTTCTTGTTTTCTTCTTCTTCTTCTTCTTCTTCTTATTATTATTATTATTATTATTATTATTATTATTATTAATTTTTTAATATTAATTATCACTATTACCTTTTTTATAAAAAGTTTTAGTATTAATTATTCTTACTGTTAATATATTAATAATATTTTATTAATTTATCATCATGATTAATTTCTAATGCAATTTATTTCTTATTATCTATGATTATAGATATTATTGCTTACTATCTTTTTTTTTCATTTATCAACATCGACATTATTTCTTTATTTATAATACGGCTTCATGTTGATGCAAGCAACGGTGGGAAGCAAACTGAACCGCTTTGCCATCGGATGTGAAGCATTTTGATTAACGAGGGATTTTCAAAAAAAAAAATCAAGAAAAACCGCGGGAAAATGGACGTCGATTTTTTAAGTGACTATGCATCGTTTCTGGAGATTTATGATTTATGCGACTTTTCTTCACGGCTCGCCTACCACGTGAGACGCCAAATGGAGGCCCACAATGAGCTACTAATGAACTTGAAAATCAAACAACGGCGTTAGACCCGGCATGCGTCTGACCTTCTGATTGGGTGTGAGTGGGCATGAGAGTATCAAATCTTAACTTTTATTCTCTGAATTTCGTGCGCGCATGCGCTATTTGAAGATGCCTGTGAGATTTTATAAATCTGGTGCTGCTATCAGTGTCTATCTCTATCTTTCTTTCTTCTTTCTTTCTCTCTCTCTCTCTCTATATATATATATATATATATATATATATATATATGTTTATATATATATATATATATATATATATATATATATATATATATATGTGTGTGTGTGTGTATATATAAATATATATATATATATATATATATATATATATATATATATATATATATATATAGGTAATAAAATAATCCGTTGGCATATAATCCAAGTGAATCCTAATAATATAAAATATTAAAATTGATCCATAAAAAGAGATCAATGTATTAATTCTAAAAGAGCATATAAATTACATTAGATCGTCAACTCAGAAGTGTGAAGAAATATCTCTCAGTTATCAAAGCCAACAAATTCCTCTTGGCAGGAGTAGCTATTCGAATGAGGTAAATTTGGATTTCTATCCTATGCAAATTTTTAATTAAACATGAGAGAATGCTGCCCAAATACACAATCATATATATATATATGTGTGTGTGTGTGTGTATGTGTGGTTTCTGCGCTGTGTTGAAAAAGTAATTTTCGAGCAGGGCCTTATGCTAGCTCCGTATTTAACCAACAAATACATCAACACCACTGACGAAAGAATTTCTATTTTGCATATTACTAATACAAACACTCAAATTCTAAGTCCATTAAACATTGAAAACCTGTTATTGAGCAATGTTCCTGTTAATTAAACCATCGGCATTATTAGGCATGATATTTATAACCATTCCTATCACTCCCACCTCTTGAAATTAAACCTAACATGCTACACAAACTTTATAAGCATGAATAACCATGTCTCTTGACATGATATATATATATATATATATATATATATATATATATATATATATATATATATATATATATATATATATATGAAATGGGGACGAATCAAATATAAATTAAAATGTTCACAAGATTAATTTTAAAAATAATTTCTTTATTATCGGATATTACGTACAAACATATATAAAACCCTCATTTACCACTGCCTGATTAGATGCGATGATAATGTTCGTATGTAATATTCCATAATAAAACGTACACTAGGCAGACTGTTTCGTTGTAGCTCAGTTCATCAGTGTGGCTAGACGTCCGGTTGCCTCTAGCTAGGATCGAAACTCGGCTGAATTGGAGTTATTTGGAGATTTTATCCCTAAGCCGTTGGCGCAGGGCAGGGCAGTAGTCGAATTTTAAGCGTATTAATATTTTTCAGCTATCTTATGGAAAATAAAATTTTTATTCAATCTCTAAAAAATAAACTTCATTTTTTTTTTTTTTTTTTTTTTTTGTAATAACTAAATTTAGGAAAATACCACACTATCAATATCACGCTCGGTGGGGTGGGGCGGTGATTAGGGAACTGAGCATCCTCATATTTTTTGTTCAAAAAGACACTTTATATTTCAATTTAAATACTAACATAAATCCTCTGTTAATGCTGTTTTCGAACAAATCAAACTTAGATAAAAGTTCATTAACCTTTTTTCAAATACAAGGCCGGAAAATTGCATGAAACAGAGTGCCACCGCATGGTTTAGTTTTATATATATATATATATATATATATATATATGTGTGTGTGTGTGTGTGTGTGTGTGTGTGTGTGTGTGTGTGTGTGTGTGTGTGAGAGAGAGAAAGAGATTAATAGAAAGTAATACAAATAAATCTAAGCGAAACAAAGATGTGGATTAGGGAACAATCGTAGATATCATAGAAAGGGATTAACAAGGAGGATATGACACATCTTGTTTTATGAGCAATATCCTTTCAGGACATAGGCGATCATTGGTCTCCCCAACTTCTTATCCCCTGTGGCCCTTTTTTCCTTTTGCCGAAGTTCCCGCTCTACTCCCGTTCCGCCAACCTCCCCCTATTTTTCTTAGCCTCGTTATTCCCCGTGAAAGTCCTTCTTTATGGGTTCAAGGAATCTTTTCCTGATTCTGAGTAGAAGACTTCTTTCTGTTATTCATTTTCTTTAAGACTTCCTTGTTGCTTACTCGATCAAGAAGAAAAGATAACAGGTGGAGTAAATGGTTGCTTGACTGGTACCCAACAAATAGCATATTGATATCTGAGATAGAGGATATGCTAGTAAGATATGCCAGCTGATACTCTACAGTTGATTGATTATATACACACACACACATTTTTATACCTTTTTATATCTGACTTTTCTCTTTTTATTGTTATTACGATTCTCAATTTTCATTCTCATAATATTACTATTTTCGATTTAGTATTTTTCTTCTCTAAAATATCGACATGTTTCTTAACCAACATCTTTTCCGTGAGTGAAATGTTAAATGTTATGTAAAAGTTTCGATTATGATAATTTGCTGTAACTGTATGAAAACTGTAAGAGAAAACCGTACAGAGATGGTACCTTGACTCCTCAAAAGTTTTTACCAATTGTAGTATTTTTTTACATGGTTTTATGTTAACAAAATACAATAAAGAAAGAAATAAAAGTAACAATAAAAAAAATATCAAAGCAACAAAGAATATAATTTTCATAAAACCCCGATGAAAATTTTTTCTTTAAAGGTGTACGATGATTGTAATTTCGCTTTATTGCGTGGGTGCGTATGCATTTCAATTTTGAATTGTGGTGAGTTCAATAAAATAAAATAAAATATAAAATATAAAAATGTACAAATAAAAAAAAAGAATTAAATTAAAACAAATCTCTTTAAAATCCTTATATCTTTTTCTATCTTTCACTCTCTTTCTCTCTATATATTTCTTTCTCAAAAAGAGGAAGAAGACGAAAAGAGTAACCCCGGCCGAAAAACACCGGATATTGACAGTTCAGCGGCTAAATAATTTGTAGCAAAAACTTACGAAAAATGTTGTAGATTCTACGCGTAACTTCCGCTATATAAAATAAGAAAGGAGCGCGAAAAAGAATTTCGTCCAATCAAATAATTTAACAGAAAGAGATTTGCATGTCTTTGGCGCCTCATCAAAAGGGAAGTAAACTGACTCCTGCAGGCGGACAGCGAGAAGGACTTGAAACAACTCAAGACAAAAGATACACAGACGGTTCTCTATCATTTCAAAGATGATTTCTGCCAATCTAGAGGTACGGGACATTTTAAATGTTCTTACCAATAACCACGTTGGCGGCCTTTGATAATTTAATGCTACATTCTAAATTTTTTGCACTCCCCACCGCCTCCCAAAAAAAAAACATTTGCCTCGGCTACGGCCCTGTGATGTCTGCAATAGTTTCTTTCTTTTTATGTGCCATGTCCTTTCAGGACGTAGGCGATCATGTCTCTCCACCTCTTCCTCTATCCCTTGCAGCTCTCAACAAGTTCCTTCTTTCTGCTATCTCCCCCAACCATGTTCTGTCATCCACCTGCCAGGTATGTCATGCGCTGTTTTCCCTTGTCTCTCTTTCCCTCTATTCGACCCGTGAGTATCAGATTCTCTGGACCCTCCTTCCTCATTATGTGTCCCAGAAACTTCATCTGCCTCTTCCTGATGTTAAGCATGAGCCTTCTCCTTGTCTGCATCTTCTCCAAGACCTCATCGTTGCTTACACGCTCGGTCCACGATATCCACAGCATCCTTCTGTAGAACCATATCTTTGTCGCTTCGAGTCTCTTATTTTATTCTTGAGGAAATCGTCCAGCATTCGCTGCCGTAAAGAAGGACAGATATCACGTAACAGTTCAGTATTCTTTTTCTTTGTTACCAAAGAAATCTTCCTGTCTCGCAATACTCTTCCCAGCTTTTGGAATGCATCCTTGGCTATCCCAATACGGATTTTGGTATCGCACGCATCCTCTGTCAAAACGCTTCCCAGATATTTAAACTTATGCCTCTAGTTGATTCTAGTGTTCTCGACCTGCAAATCGCATTTCGGTCTCATCCTCTTTTACTGTCGTTTAATAGAGATATTTTTTGTTTATTTACTTGTTCATTCTGACTACACCTTGCGTTTATATTTTTGTAATCATATGAGTTTCCATCTGAATTTCTATGATGAGGATTTATCATTATTTACATTATTTGCACTCGAACTATTATCCTCACCTTTGTTGTTGTTATCACTACGTTTTGATCTTTATCTGCAGTGCTGGGGATGACGATAAACTACATCCGGCAGCAAGGCCTCTGATCGGGAGGTTGGAGGTTTTGAAAAGCGTGAAACCACCTCTTAATTGCTGATTCGGAGTGGTAGCACCTGTTAGGGTCTGAGCTATGGGCAAATAGTAAACTCACAAACAGAGATTAAATTGCTAGTAAGGTGTAAAAACATATCATTATAGTTGAAATACTTGCAATACATTTTTATAAAATGAATTACCAACTATGTATTTTGTGATGGCATTACCAACTATATATTTTTATCGCAAAATGACAATCAATACAACACTAAAAAGTATAAAAATGCATCTTATAGTAAAATTACCAACAATACATTTACATTTTTAAAAAATTACCGACAATACATTTTATAGTGAAATTATCAGTAGTACATTTTTTTAAATTACATAAATTTTATCAGTTTAAGCAGATACATTTTATCAGCTACAAACTATATATCTAAAAGCATAGGTTTACGCTAAAAGTATGACGTGCTATACCATTTATTTTTAATTGTCTGGTTAGGAAGGTTAAATTAAATTTTTTTAAACTAAACTTCCCAAACTTCCAATTAGCTCATATCTTTTGAAGCGTATATTAACGTAAACAAATGACACGATATATTATGAAATAGACTAAGTCAGACAATTATTTTAATATTTTTTTCAATAGCATATAAACAAAAGTATATTAAAATAATTCTCAGACTTAGTCCATTTCATAATATATTGTGTCATTTGTTTACGTTAAGATACGCTTCAAGCAGATATGAGAGTTCGAGAAAAATAATGGGAAGTTTGCAGTTTAAAAACAGTAATTTAACCTTGCTAACCAGACGCTTACTCTAAAAGTATAAAATTATGTACAAAATACATGTAGTTGAAGCCATAATATTGCAAACGAACAGATTTCGGCATTAAATAACCCATAGAGGTTTTGATATGCCTCTAAACAAAATCACCCAACCAAAGTTCATCATATACTTGTTGATCAGTGTAAACTTCCGGGAATTTCGAACTGATCACTTTATTTAATTTACATACCGCTCCTTATGAATAGAGATACCTCGTCTATTTCTTACTTAATTCTGTTTCCAACGAGCTTAAGTCTGCACGACTCAACACAAGGATTGAACTCATAATTATTATGTCACCAAATTCATGAACCAGCACTTTAACCCACTAGTTTATTGCCCTGTAGGACAATCCTGAGTGTATAATTTGGATCTTTAAACCTAATTTCTCTGTTGCCGTCGCTTGTCACACTTAGACCGAATTTATAATTGTGCTGATAACCTTTGCCCTTTGGTACCTAATTTAAACGCAAGATCTCATAATTTTGCAGTTGGCTAGATGTATCCGTAAGTTCTTTGTTAACGGTTTTGTTTTCTCGCACTTCTCACATGTGGAATTATCTTTCGGCTTCTTGCTTTCCAGCCAACTTCGTTTTTCAAAAATGTCAATTGTTGTCTTCTTTTATTGCCCTAGCTCCTTAATAATATTGCTTCTTTTTTTTCTTATTCTTTCGCACTCAGTAATCCCTTGTGTCTTAGTGGCTTTATTGCCTTGCGTAAGGTGAAATAATTTTTAAAAAAGAGATTGAAAATGAGAGAGTACCGGAAATATTGTCCAGACTAAAAAAAAAAAAAACCCTTCTAAAACCAAATTTGTTATTTTATTAAATTGTTTGGGGAAATGAGATGAAACAGATAACTTTTCAGCATCTCTTTGTACCTGAATGTGAGTTTCAGAAAAAATGTGTGTGTTCATGTGTGCATGTGTAGATGAGTGTCTACATACGATTGTACATTTGTCCATGTGTGTGTGTGTGCTATATTGTGCACAAAGACCCGACATTTTCTTCTGACGTTATTTCACAATTATTAGACAACCATATTCCATCTTTTTCCTGTCCCGTCCATTCCTCTCCCTCTGCATCTATCGCTTTCATTCCATGGTCTCTCTAACCCCCTCTCTCTCTTTCTCTCTCTCTCTCTCTCTCTCTCTCTCTCTCTCTCTCTCTCTCTCTCTTATACTATTCTTATCTCTCAACCTCTTCCTCCTCCTACTTCATTGTTTCTTATACCCGTCCCTTCTTCTCACGATTGTTTTCTCCCGTTCAGTTCTCTGTTCTTCTCCAGGTCGGAGTCTGGTGTCCCGCTGCTTCTTGTACAAATGTACAGGTGTAATGGCTGGGTAAAAGAGATAAAAAAAAACGTAAAGAAAAGGACAATGCAAAATGAAAATGAAGGACTTGGTCACTCTTGTGGAACCGGGTAGAGTCATTGGAGCGTGGTGAACGTATCCGCCCGGACATCCATTGACGATGTCCAGGGGAGACAGCAGGAAGCAGAAAGAGTGAAAAGGTTGAATGAGAACAGAAAAAGACAAAGGACGAGAAGATGGTAAAAAAAAAGGAACAAGTCAGAACGAGAGTTTACAAAAACTGTTAAGAAAGAGAAAGAAGAAAAGGAGAAAAAAGAGAGGAAAGAGGAGATAAAGAAAGTCAAGAACTGGAACTGAAGGGAAAAATAAGAGAAAACGTATTAAGGGAAAGAATGTTAAAAATGAGAAGGATAAGAGGGAGAGAAAAATAGAGAGAAGAAACATAAAAAGGGGTTAAAGGAGTGATAGATATTTGAAGGAAAAAAGAAGAGAAGAGAAAATGTAACTAAAGAAAGCGAGAATGAAAGAAGGAAAATATATTGGCAAAAAGAAAGAAAAGACACTAACAAAAAGAGAAACCAAAGAAAGAAAGAAAGAAAGTAAGAAATGCAAGAGAAAAGGAAGTAAGAAATAATACTGACAAAAATAAAAAGAACGAAAGAAAAAGACAAAAATTAAAAGAAAAAAAAAAGAAAAGACAAAATTAAAAGAAAGAAAGAAAAGATAATTACAAAAAAGAAGAATGAAAGATAGTGACAAAAGGAGAAACGAAAGTAAGAAATAATACTGACAAAAATGAAAAGAAAGAAAGAAAGAAAGAAAGGAAGAAAGAAAGAAAAAAAGGAAGAAAGAAAAGACACCAACAAATAGAAAAAGGAAAGAAAGAAAAGATACTGACAAAAAATGAAAAGAAATAAATGACGGAAGAAAAAAAAAGACAAAAATGAAAAGAAAGACCAAAATGAAAAGAAAAACAAAAAAGAAAAGAAAGAAAGAAGATAATTTAAAAAATAGGAAAAGAAAGAAAGAAAAATCTAGAAAATAGAAACTTAGGAAAGCGAGTAAGGAATCCCTTCTCTTATAAAGAAAGGGAAAATGTTATTAGCAACTGAAATGTGACGACGTCATCAGCAACCATCAGATCATTGAACATAGATGCTTCCGTTGTTTACTGTTAAGCTGGATTCAGTACCGGCATAGACTATGGCTCGACAACATTTTATAATAATAATATATATATATATATATATATATATATATATATATATATATATATATATGAAGAAAATTTTGTTTGTTTCTCAATGTGTTGTTCTTTTTGTATTCGAAAGAGACGTAGATTAATGGTGAGAAAGGTGACAGGCAAACTAACATTTAATCATCTGGATTGATTTTTGAAGCGTGACATCACGTCACGACTCCTGTAATCCACTAGGGTCGTTGGGGCACCATATATACTGCGGCCATATCAGCAGTGCTGTGTCTAGAGCAAGAGAGACAGAGTTTATATCTATTCACGCTGGTTTTGAATTCAGAGATTTCTTCCTCCTAGTCAATAGAGCCCCGCTAGTCTTGCTATTAAACCCATAGCTGGAGAACTTGGAAATGTTGCAGAAGAACGAGAGTGGGGCAACAGATTTGTAGTCTGACATGATGTCATTACTAAATTTTAATCTTAATTTTTCACTGAATTCTATTCAATGTATTTTAGTGATATTAATCATTGAATTAAATGCATTTATATGAGACGAGATAATATTTTAAATTCAATACTTGTGCCTTAAATTAGTTTATTTTTATTATTCATTATTATTGATACACTTAAGCATTCCTTAAAGCGCTCATGCATGATCATATCTTTTTATGCCAATGTAGGTTTATTATAAAAGAAAGTAATACTAATTACTAGTAAAGCACAAAGCTAAACAAAGAAGATTGTTTTGCGCCAGGTCCTCAAATAAAAAAGGCATGCCTATGTTTAAAGGCAGAATTCCAAATCCTCGATTTTATCCAATTTCCAACGCAGACTACGAGTATCAGTAGAGTCGAAAAAGGTCCCTTATGTGCATGCGCAAATATATGTAAAGATGCATTTATTTATCTATATGTTAGTGTGTGGTGTGCGTTTTCTTCGTGTACGTACACACGTGCACATACATACAAAGGTCTGAAAAATTACATATACAATACATATCATACCAATATAGATATACCTTCACTGTTCTTTAGCTCTTTTCTTATATGTGAGTACGTATCTGTGTGTTTGTGATTATGTGTATCTTATGAAAATCTATAGATAGATAGATAGATAGATAGATAGATAGATAGATAGATAGAAACATACTGAGATAGATAGATAGATAGATAGATAGATAGATAGATAGATAGATAGATAGATAGATAGATATGAACAGACTGAGATAGATGCATGGTATGCAATGAAGTTTTTAATATTGGCATTCTTAGAAATCGATCTACATATGGCAGATTAATGTATAGGTAGATCGGTAAAAACTGTGATAGATAGATAGATAGATAGATAGATAGATAGATAGATAGATAGATAGAAAAGAATGAAACCCAGTTTAGTTTAAAATACGCCAGGCCATGTCGTGTATGAATGTCGTTTTTAGTCACTTTCAAATGAGGTGGGCCTTCCTGAATTTAAAATTATGGGATGAAGAAATGCCCGCTGATATCGATACTAAATATACAGCTTTCACAGCAAAAAGGCAATCCTCATTGTGTGTGCGTGGGGGGGGGGGGTATCTGTGTGTGTGTGTGTGTGTGCGTGCGTGTGCAAACACCCATATGACATTGCCACATAATGACAGAAGAATTCAACACTTTCCACACCAGCTCAAAAATATTGACTAGTATTATCAAGAGAATGTTATAACAAGTAGTTAGATGTGTTTATTATCGCTTTCTTTCAAAAACAAAACCCCCACCCACGAAAAACGCTATTAAAATGTCACTTGAACGCAACGACCGGAAGTCAAGAAGCCCTGAACGAAGAGATGTTTGATAAACTGATGACCAATTAGGACTCTCGCAACAACATAATGACGAAAAACATAATCATTTTTCGGCCAAAATCTTCCTCTATTCAATGTATCTCTAAATTACAAAAGCCAAACTCCGGAATTGCTGATGCCATGGGCATTTTATTGCTCTATTGACTCATCTGAGATTTATTATGGGAAGAACACATCCATATTTTAGGCTTAGAATTGATTTTTCTTCTTTACTATTTTTCATGGCTTGTGTTGCAAATTCCCTTCGTTATACAATACAGTCAAATCTTTAAATTAATTCCCAGAACATCGTAACAGAAATCCAAAGTCTGAAAATTCTCGTGAAGTACAAATTGGTGAATGTTATTGATATGAAATCACAATAAACAGCAAAAATTAATTTATTACTTTCGACTAATAGAGTAGTATTTGATTTCATGGTACTTAAATATGTTCATTATGGATGAAACAAAAAAATCGAGATTATGTTCAACCCTTGTTAGATTTTCAAAGGAAGTTACAAACAATAGAAGAAATTGAAATCTCTTTAGTGCTTCAAATTAAATGCTGCAAAATGTTCATCTTTATATTGGCGTGAATTTCCAACTTTCACTACTCTATATCCCGATCAGAAATATATATGTGCCAAAACAATTTATTTTATATATATATATTTCCATTTTTTTTTCAAATTAATTATATTTCTAACCAGTAAATCGAGTAGCCTCGCATCAGCTTTAAATGAATTTTCTCAGAATATAAATTGATGTTCTCAAGGACACATGTCACAGTGGATAAAGGCATTAGTTAGATCCAGTGACAGGACCCAAAGAGTGTGAGTTCAATAAGTTCGGTTAAGGCAGTAGAGAACTTGGAGAGTCGAATTAACAGGCGATAACTGATAACTGACATCCATTAGACATGGTACGTAGAACTAGAACAGTCTACCTCAGCGAGCGAAATAAAGGGTTCAGTTTGACATTCCAACCACCTGAAGAAGGCCGGAGCGTACAACGACCGAAATGTGATAACTATGGCAACAAACATGAGGACAATAGTCCGAATAATGTAAATAGTGTACATAATACCTCATCTCAAAAATATAGACAAATACTACTCAACATACATTTACAATAAGCATAGAAAGGCTGAATAACCTACCAGTGTCAATGGAAGTAGATTTCAATGTAGATTTCAATAACGCTATTGAAAAACTGACATAAAATAAAAATATGCAACAGAAATGTGACACCGTAATGCATTGGAATAGCGAAAGATGTTTTTCAAAAGCTAAGCAGAGTATTAAGTAACAGATAACTTTCAATATCTGTCTATATCTCTGAGATGAGGTATTATGATTAGTTGCATTATTTACATTATTCGGACTGTTATCCTGATCTTCGTTGCCATATTCACAGCGTTTCGGTCCTCGTACGCTCTGGCCTTCTTCAGCTGATTGGAATTTCGAACCGAAACCTTTATTTCGTCCATTGGTGCAAACTGTTCTAGTTAATGTGCCATGCATCTTCTGGATGTCTAAGTTATTTACCTTTAATTCAACTGTCCAAATTTTTGGGTTCACCACTGCTGTGGCCTGGTATCGAACTCACAACTCTTTGGATCTAGTCACTGGATCTAATCAACGTCTTTATACACTGGGCCATGTGTCCTTGAATTAAAGGGAAATAACCGAGACATCAGGAAGAGGCATGGCACGTGGAACTAGAACAATCTACCCCGGTGGACCAAATAAAGAATTCGGTTCGAAATTCCAATCACGTGAAGAAGACCAGAGCGTACAACGACCGAAACGTTGTGAACATAGCAATGAAGATGAGAATAACAGTCCGAATAATGTAAATAATACAAGATAACTTTCGTTAGAAACAAATACAATATTGCTCAACTGCT